TGCGCCTTCCTTCGGAGAGCCGTGCGCTGGCAGCCCAAACCTGGTTGGAGGGGAAGGGACTTCTCCCCAGCATCGGCCTCTCCCAGTCGACTGGGGACGGGGCCCTCCAGGATTCTGGCGGGGTCGGAGTGGCCGTGTCCGGGCATGTGGCATCAGCTCCCATACAGCCCCCAGAATTCGCAGGCTGGGGGCACCGGCTGGTTGCTCGCAAGCTCAACGTGGGGTTGCCGCAGGGCTTGGTCGTCGTATCCGTGTACGGCCGGACCAAGGTGGGCATCGCTGGCAACCTTGATTTGCTGGAGGTCATTGCGGCATTTGTCCTCCGGCTGCCATGCCCCTGGGTTGTGGCAGGTGACTGGAATTTCACGCCCTACGATTTGGAAGAGTCCGGCTTACTGTCACGGCTGCACGGCGTCGTGGCGGCGCCAGCCCTGCCCACGTGCACAGCGCCTCACCAGGACGACGCTGACGGCAGCAGCGACGATCAGGACGCCGACGAGGACGAGGCGGTGGACCACGACGACGGCATCGGGGGCAGGGTCCTTGATTTCTTCGTGGTGAGCGAGTCCCTTGCAGCGTGTGTTGGGCGCGTGGACGTGCTGCACGAGGCGCCGCTGGGGCCGCACTCGCCGGTGTTCTTGCGGCTGGAGGGGGTCGCTGCCACGCGGCTTGTCGAGCGACCCCGGCGCTTCCAGTCCTTCCCGATTGAGCGCCCTATTGGGCCGCAGCCGCAGGAAGACCCAATCAGATGGTCGTGGGACGCCGGCGGCAGTGCGGGTGCAGCCAGCGTGGGCTCCATGATTACGGAGTGGTTCGGCGTTGCGGAGGCTTACCTGGTCAAGCTCCACGGGCTCGAGCAGAGGGACGTGCGGCGTTGCACAGGACGGGGTGACGGACCGCAAACTTCCCACGTGCCACTGTGCACAGCATGGGAGCGCGAGGTCCGAGCCAGGCATTGCCCTACGACGACGGCGTGGGTGGCCTTCCACTCGCTTTGCCTGCGGGTTGCAGCGGTGGCCGGGGGCCGGCTCGGCAAGCGAGGTCGTGAGCTCCTCGCACTCTGGCGGATGAAGCTCTTCGACATTGTAACCGCGATGCAGGTTCCGGAGGATGTGCCTGGTAGCCCCCACCATCCGTGCAGCGTGCAGGCGCTGGGCGGCCTCATTGACTGCTTCGTCGAAGGTCGTCGCGGCGACGCTGCCATCACGTGGGGGTACGTGGAGAGCGAGTTCGAGAGGCGTCGTGGTGAAGATGCTAAGCGGCAGGCAGCTGCTTGGCGCAAGTGGGCACAGGCGAGCCTGCGTAGAGGCGGGAAGGCAGCGCAGAGGTATGCCCGGCGACGCCCGCATCCCTCCACCCACATCCTTGACGATGGGGACGCCGGCGAGGATGCCCTCCCAGTGGCAGGAGCGCAAGCTATCCAGAAGCTTGTGGACGACTGGCTGCCGTACTGGAGCGTCCCTGCCGGCCAGGAGGAGGATCCCATAGACTGGGTCGTGAACGATGGCATCGACCTCCCGGCTCTGACAATCGACGATTTGCGGCGGGCCTGCAAGGCGTACAGCGAGGGCGCTGGTCTGGGATGGGACGGCCTCAATCCACGCGTTCTCCTCCAGCTCCCAGAGGAGTACCAGGCGGGCTTCCTGGACATTTTGGCGGAGTTCGAACGCCAGCCGCGGCGGCTGGATGCACTCCTGTCGCACATCATCTTTCTTCCCAAGCCTGATGGCGGCATCCGCCCAATCGGGCTGATGTGCCTCTTCAGTAAGCTGTACTCGAAGATGCGGCAGCCCGTGTGCCGCGGGTGGGAGCACAAACACCCGGAGTCTTTCTTCTGGGGCTCCAGCGCTGCGACGGCCTGCGACAGGGCTGGTTGGCACCACAACGTGCTGTCCGCCTTCGGGGGCGCTGCGGGCTTCGCGACCGCCACGGTGCTCGTCGACTTGCACAAGTTTTACGAGCACGTGCGGTGGTCGCACCTGCGAGCCGCAGCCGTGCGATTCCAGTTCCCGGTGATGCTGCTCCGGGCGCTGTGCGTCGTCTACTCGGGGGGCCGCCGGATCCTGTACGGAGGCGCGGTGTCGGCGAGCCTGTTCGCCACGCGATCGGTGATAGCAGGCTGCAGCGCGGCGACGACGTTGGCCAAGCTCCTCTTGCTGGGCCCCCTCCGCGCCACGCTGTCCAACAGGCCCCAGCTGGCCCTGCGCAACGTCGTGGACGACGTGGAGCTCCAGGCGCTGGGCAACGTAGCCATGGTCGACACGCAGATGGGACAGGGGGTGTCCCAGCTACTTCGGGAGATGCAGCATCTGGACTTACCCATCTCGCTCAAGAAGTGCAAGTACATGGCATCTTCGACCGAGCTCGCAGGCCGCCTCGGCCAGCAATGGCCGTTCCCGAGCCGCTGCCGCGTTCACCATGCGCGCAGCCTCGGCACAGACATCGTGGCACGGCCAATCAGGAGGGTCGGGACGACCCGGGGCCGCCAGCAGGCGGCGCGATGGAAGGGGCAGCGGCTGCGCGTGCTGCAGACAGGAGGGGACAACATCGCCATGGCGCAGAGGATGGGGCCAACTGCGTGCGCCCTCTGGGGGGGCGCGGTGATGGGCTTCAGCGACGCCCAGCTGCACGCTCTCCGGGTTGGCGCTGCTGCGGCCATGGGGCGGCTCCCTCGCGGAGCCTCCGTCGGTCTCCGCCTTCATTCACATCGCACCGGGCCACGGGTTGACCCCTTAGTCATCCACTCCGGCGACGTGGTCGGCACCTGGGCCGCGGCGATTTGGGACGGAATGCCGAAGCGGCAGATTTTGCAGACAGTATTGGCGAAGGCGCTGGGCAAGCTCGACCAAGCGAAGGCCCCCTGGAGGGTGGCCTCCTCGCCGGGGGACGTCGCGGTACTGACGTTGCGCCGCCTCTGCTGGCAGTTCGAGGGCGCCGATCGCATGCGCACCGACGAGGGTGTTGTGTTGGACCTCACCCGGATCCCGCCCATGCAGGTCCGCCGCCTGGCCGAGCGCGCCGCCGTCAGGGAGTCCGACAGGATGGCGCTCTCCACGACGGGGTCGAAGGCAGTGGCGTGGGAGGCGAGACCTGGAGCACCTGCCCGCCAGCCCCTCCCCGTGTTCTGGGAGGCGCTGCAGCGGATCTTGAGGTCGCCCGCCCCGGGCTGGAGCGCGCGTCAGCAACGTGCATTCCGGGCTGCCTTATCCAACACTCTCTGGAGCCAGGCGCGCCTGGCAGGACATGGGATGGTGGGCCATGGCCGCTGCCTTCGGTGTGGGATGAAAGGCACCCTCTGGCACAGGTGCTACGAGTGCGACGCTCTGGCGGTCTTGCGCCGGGACCTCACGAGCCAGCGGCTGCGGGATTGCGCGCGCCGAGCCTGGGAGTGGAGTGAGGAGGCAGGGGAACGCTTCGCTAGAGGGATCCTGCCCAGCCCCGCCCCGATGTTCCCGCACGCGGAGCCTCAGGAGCTCGTTCGCTGGGTCCGCCGCCCTGTGGATGGGCTACTCAAGGGGCGTCTCTTCACCGATGGCTCCCGGTTCCACGGCGACTTCCCGCACATGGCCCGCGCTGGATGGGCCATCTGCTCTGTGGACTGGGACGGCAGCCTCATTTCGGCGGCCTACGGGCCGTTGCCATTCTGGGCGTCGCAGGAGCAGGGGATCCGGGAGGCGGAGGATTACTGCATCTTCATGTTGTGCGAGCTCGCGATGCCCCCCTTCTCCCTGCACATCGATTGCCAGGGCACGGTTGACTGCATAGCTGCTGGTCCTGGCACGGGTGCGAGCTCCAGCGACTTACGGCCGCACTTGTGGGGGCGCGTCTGGGCGAGTTTCCAAGGGCGAGTTTCCAAGCTGACGACTTCAACGACGTTCACAAGGTGAAGGCGCACGCCACGGCCTCAGACGTGGATGCCGGACGGATCTCGTCAGCGGACAGGAAGGCCAACCTGCACGCCGACGCCCTCGCGAAGGAGGGTGCCAAGCTCCACGGGCTCAGCGAGGGCGATGTGGACCTATGGTGCGGGCTCCACGTCATTGCGGAGGAGGCTGGGCGCTGGAGCGGCCAGGCGCACGCTGCGGCCGCAGATGCGCCGGCGCCTGACGCGGACCACAGCGTCTTGGAGGGGCCAGGGGGCCACGGCGCGGCGCAGCCCACTGAGCTGGAAGCAGCTTCTGAGCCACCGCCCACCGCAGGCCCCAGACCTGCGCGCGGGCATGCCGCTGCCGTTTTAGAGCTCGATTGGCCACATGATTGGAGCAGTTATGACAGCTGTGCATTTCGAGTCGCAGGGCACTGGATAGTCAAAACGACTGTCCAGCAGGCGCCCGAACGCGTTCTTTTCTTTTGCTTCAAATGTGGAGGGTGCCTCACAGGGGCCAGCCCAGGGAAAGTCCTGCGGGGGCCGTGCCTGGGAGCACGCGCTGGCCACGGAGCCAAGGAGCAGCTCCGACGGGTGACCAAACGTGAATACCCCCACTACAGGGCAAACCGCAAACATTGGACGCTCGAGGTGCCAACCGCGCCCTCGCGCGAAGACGGCGTTCGTCTCGCGGCGCTCCTTGGGGACCAAGGGCAAGCCGGAAACCGAATCGGCCGCGGGGCAGCGGGGGCAGAGGCCGCCTGCGGCCACAATGCCAGCGGGCGCAACCTCCCGCGCCAACCGCCCACACGAGACTACATTTTGTCTTGTTTCGGGCTTCGTCGGGAGGACGAAGGCTGGGTTGCTGCGCTTGGGGCGCGCCGGCGCGAGGAGGGGATTCCTCCGCCGTCGGATGCAGAATCTTTTGATTCAGGCTCTGAGGAGGGAGCTTTTTGAGGCATCTGGTTAGTTCAAACTTTTTCTCTGGCCGTGGACGGCCCCGCCGAGGCGCATTCGTAGTAGTAGTAGCCCCCCCCAAATGGAAATGGAGGGCAAATCGGGGCCTTTGGGTTGGGTTGGGTGGTGTTATGGGCGGTAAGCAGAGTCCTCCCTCCCTCCTCCCGCCACCGTCGTCATTGTCGTCAGGGTGAAGTAGAAGGAGTAGACGTACTGTTCCTGCCAGGAGGTTATCCCGTTCAGCTTCTCCTTTATCCAGGTTTGGCCGTCGTCCAGGGTGCCGACCACGTACCAGCAGCACGCCGCCCAATGGGTCACCCCGAAGAGGCAAATCAACAAACCCATCACGCCCTGCACAAACACCAAAATCCGGCTCGACTCGATAACGACATCTAACTGACGCTTGAACGAATTCGACTTGGAGATCCGCAGAAGCCGGACAAGCCGCAATATCCGCAGAACCCTGACGACCCGCACGCCCTTCAACACTTGCATGTCGCTGCCGTCGTCGAGAATGAGGTCAAACGGTATCGACGCCAGGAGGTCAAGAGCGAACGACGTCCTCACATAGTTGCAGACGACGGCCAAGGGCTCCAGCACCACCTTCCCATCGGCATCCCTGTAGGCGACAAAGAAATTGAGCGCCAGATCACACATGAAGAACACGTCGATCGTGACCGACAGGAAGTAGAGAAAGCCCTCCGGCTGGGCATCAAATGCCAGCTGTATTGGCATGGAAAAGACCAGGTAGAGGATGAGCAGCAAGCTCACAAGATGCCAGCAGATCAGATAAATATTCTCCGGAGGCACCAGGGGGACGAACATGTGCCCCCACAAGACCGGGCAGAACACGATCCCAGTCGAGGTCCCCATATCGTCGTCGTCCGGCTCCTGGAGATCTCCCAACGGGGACTGGTGCTGAAGGGGCGAGAGAGCCGCACCGCAACGGTGACGTCGGAAAGGAGAGAGCATCGGGGCCCGAGCCGCGCCGCACCTCCGATGCCTCGGCGACGTGGCGCGGGCCCCACGTGGAGGACCTCACCTGCAGCCTGGCGGAGTCCCGCCCTGGACCCCCCCGGACTCCGTGGACCCCTCGGGCGGGCGACCATATCCACAAACCACCGCTCCTCGAAAGACCCGAACACGACTACGAGACGGTGGACATGCATGCCGGTCGGAAGAAGTAGGCAGAAACATGAAGTAGGAAAGGGTATCAAGTGGATTTGGTTCAGGACCTCCCAGACCCACCTTGCACTAATCGCGCCTTCCGATGGCGCCGATAGCACCGCTCTGGGCTGCGCACTGGCAGCCCCCCCAGAGGGGTCCTTCTGCTGGCTTCCACGGGCCCCCCGAGTGGGCCCAGCCGGCGTCGGCAGGCCTCCCGAGCAGCCATGGGGGCGGCCTCGACGGCCCCACCCCTGGGGGCGCGGAGCACCCCCTGTGGGGCGCCACGTGGGCGGCGCAAAGGGGTGCTGAGACCGCCCTCGACTCCTCGGGGGGGGGGGGCGGAGGAGGAGGAGGAGGAGGAGGAGGAGGAGGAGGAGGAGGAGGAGGAGGAGGCCTGCCTGTGGAGGTCCGCCAGGACTGCCTCGGGGGGCGGCCCGTGCGCAGCCCGAAGCTCTTGCGCCCTCCCGCCGGCGCGGGTGGCCCGAGTCGCATCGGCCGGTGCCGGGCGGCGGGCGGCGCTCCACCTTCACTGGCCCGCGCTGGGGCTGCTTTTTTAGGTCGGGCACGTCTCCCGACAGGCGGACTTTGGAGAAAAACTACGGCAGGTTCGTGTCGTGCCGACCCCAGCGTTGGTTTTTGACACCGCAGGGATCGTTCAACCTTGAACGATCGGCCGCTGCCGCAACGTCCGATCGCTCAACATCGATCGATTCTGGGTCGCCGGCGGCGTTCAACCTTGAACGCCCGCGCTGGGGTCGCCGCTGGTCGACACGACGCAAACCTACCGTAACCACATAACCGGAGCAAGCCCCAAAAGATTCAAACGTGGTCGAACGAATACTTCCCCTGTAGGAGGGGCACGTGCCCGACACAAGGCTGCTTGCCGCCGCGCCGGCGCGGCGCGGAGGTCCTGCCCCGGCACGTCGACCCGCATGTCGGAGAACCTCGGCGTAACGACAGAAGCGGGCCCCGGATCTCGCCATCGCTCGGACGTCCATTCCCTGTGTTGTTGTCGGTTTCGTGCGTGTTTTTTTTCGCCAAATAATCAAGGATGCTCCTCGATGGTCCTAGCCGAAGTAAAAATGCACACGTCCGAGCGATGCTAAGCCCCACGGGGCTTCAGCTCCTCCTCCTGTCTGGGTGCTGCATGGGGCCCGTGGAGCGCCAGCAAACTCTTGGGCCCATTCGACTTCGGTCGGGCATGTCCTCCTAATGGCGGATCTTGCGCGAAGAAGCAGATTCGAGCAGTACTCAAAAATAGTCAAACAAAGAACATCAAAAAATCGTTTCCTTATGATGTTTGACTATTCTTGAGCATTCCTCCTGTAGAGGGACACGCCCGACGGAACACTCGACTCAGGGCCCATCCTGCGAATACAGGAACAACGTACCGACGCTCGGCGGCGGTCAAACCTTCCTTTAGTAAACCTCCCTGTAGTGCAAATGGTCTGGGACCGAAACCGACGGACCTGGACCCGCAAGAATGACGGCCGCGATGCCCTCTCGCGAACCGAAAACGGCCAATTCGCCAATCGACGCGTCAGGGTAGGAGGTCTGTCCACCCCCGACAGGACGGCCCCTCGGAGCCCCGAGAGGCTCCCCCCAACAGAAGCCCGACGACGACTGCTCGGAAGCGGCCACGAGGGACCCAAGACGGCACCGAAGCGGCCGCGAGGCGGCCCTCGAGGTTCTCCGGAAGGCCCCGCGGGATCTCCGGCTTCGCGCCTGACTTTGCGCCCTCGCGCTTCGCGCGAAGCGCGGAACACAAAGGGCGTCGCGCTCCCGCGCCGCCCCCGGGGGGGGGGCGAAGAGGAGGAGGGGGAGGAGGAGGAGGAGGAGGAGGAGGAGGAGGAGGAGGAGGAGGAGGAGGAGGAGGAGGAGGAGGACGCCGCTGCCTCCCCAGACACCCCCGAGACGCCGCCGCCTTCCCGGAGCTCTCCCTGGGTGAGCAGCCCCGACCGGGGCAGCAGACGGCAGGCAAGAGGCGGAGCTGGCCGCGGCGACGAGGGCCCCCCCCCCCCCCCGCGGGCGCAGGCGAGCACCAAAACAAAAACGGCAGCGAGGCAGACGAGGGATCGCCGCGACGATCGTGCTACTCTCTGCACGAACGAAATGGGCACGGAAGGAATGGGCACAATGCTTCCAGAACAAATGCTGTCCCAAACTTGCAGCGGCCGCTGCTGGGCGGGCGGCCTCCCGTCTCAAACGGGCACAGGCCGCGGCGGCGCATCCTGCGAAAACAGGAACAAAGTACCGACACCGCTGTCTTCTAACAACTCTCCCAGGGTAGGCTCTGACCAGGACAGCAGATGGCAAGCAGGGCGGCGCCAGCCGCGGCGACGAGGCCTCCCCCCCAGCGCAGGCGAGGACCAAAACAAAAACGGCAGCGAGGCAGACGTGGGATCAACGCGACGATCTTGCCACTCTCTGCACGAACGAAATGGGTACGGAAAGAATGGGCACAATGCCCAACAGCAGTTCCTGTTCATTGTGAACAGGACTCGCTGTCCACGCCGCCGCGGCCTGTGTCCGTTCGAGACAGAAGGCCGCCCGCCCAACAGCGGCCGCTGTTGCTTTGGGACAACATTTGTTGTTGGGCATTGTACCCATCTTTTCCGTACCCATTTCGGGAGTCCAAATACTCTTGAGCAGGAACCGACCGTCCCGGCATTCTTGTAGTCCTACCACGAAATTATCTTAGAACCCATGTTCTTAGAGCATGAGCCCGATGCGATACAACAAGACAGGCTCCGCCAGAAATGTTCGAATAAAATGTCGTGGAAACCACAAGAGGTTCTAAAAACATTGCTTGGTAGGGCTATAGGCGAACCAGGACGCTTCGCCACTGCTTGATGCTCCCCGGCCCTCTTCCAGGGCGCGCGCTGACCAGGCATCTCGAGGCGGCTCTGGCCGTGGCGAAAAATTCTACGCCGAGATCCGGCGCCGCAGAAACATGGCGACCCTGCGAAATGTTACGACTGGGGTCCTGGACTCAAGTCGGGCGTGTCCCCCTACGGGGAGATTTTCGACCAAAAATAAGAATTAGTCAAACCATATTCCAGAATGGTCCAAAAATACTCCAAAAATAGTCCCCAGACTATTTTTGTAACTGTTTCTGAATATTCCCCCTGTAGAGGGACGGGCGCGATTTCACCCTGGACCCAATCTTCCTGCCTCCGTTTTCGAGCCGGACCGATCTGTGGTCCCAGGCCCGAAGCCTGGCGAAAACGCCCGGCCTGAAACAAATTGCAACGCCAGGATCTCGGGGGAGGAGCAGCGGCATCTGCCGAAAGGACAAGCGGCACAAACGTAAACTGTTGGAGGTCGGCGCGGGCTTCTTGGCTCTGCGCTGTACACTGTACCCCCCTCCCTGGCGCGCGGAGGCGCCGGAGGCGCTGCCATGGAGGCCCCAGCGCCGATCCGAGATATCCGCGCGGAGCGCCGAAAGTTTCTGTTTGTGGCGCTGTTTATTCTTCGAGTGAAGTAAGGGCCTGACCACAAGGAATCTCCCACAAGTGACCCAACACGGAAACCCCAGGGCGGCCCCTGATGTTTGGTGTGGGAGCGCCACGCTGTCCATAGCAGAATCATCGCATTCCAAGAAACCCGGGGCACCCTGGAGGCAAGCAGGGTGGTTCTTGGCAGGGGTCTCCAGTATTGTTGGAAGCCTGGAAATTGGCACCAACACCAGCACAGGGGTTTGCCTCCACAGGGAGATGATGATCTTAGATTTCGGTGTTGGTGGTAATATTTCGGTCACCTTGGAAGCCAGAATACCACCATCACCGAGATCGGGATCGTCCTCCCTCGGTGGAGGCACACCGCCGATCTTGGTGTTGGTGTCAATCTCTAGGACTGCGATATTGGTATCCTCTCCCCCATCTGGCGTTCGCCTCGCGCCGGAGGAACCGCGGCTCCCTGGTGGTATCCGACGACAGCCGCCGGCCGCCCACGCACGCGGCCTCCCGGAGCATCGTTTCGCCGATGCCCGTCCCAGGCGTGGCCCGCCCCACCAGAGGCCTCCTACAGTCGGGGCGTTGACCTAAGGAACCCTAAATAACGAACAAGGCCCCTTTTTCCCGTAAGTTCAACCTCGATTTCCCATGAGAAACCTCAGGAAAACCCGAGGCAAACTTTAAAACAATGAAGGAACACCGAGCCCCTCCCCAATGAAAAGGGTTCCTTCTTCAGCGCCCCGACTGTAGATTAGGAGACAACTACAGGGAGGTCTTCGTCGGAAGGAGTGAGGAGGATTGCGCCACATTGGAGGGCTGTTACGCCGGAGCGGGCCTCGGATTAAACGGAATGAAGCCGAATGAAACGCGATTCAGCGGGATTGAGCCGGAGTGAGCGTGATCGAACCAGATTCAGCCGGATTTCGGACCAGGGCAAAGTCAGAATTTGACCTCCCAAGAGTTGCATCCGAACCTCGATGGGGTCCGAGTAGATGGGAACGGAGGATCGCGCCGCATCGGCGATACATCGGCGATCCATCGCCGATGCAGCGGCGATGCATCGGCCATGCACTGGCGACGTCGGCGATGCATCGGAGACGTCGGCGTGGAGAAACTTGGGCCCCACATCGAGCAACATCGGCGGTGCGGCCCGATCCTCCGACCCCATCTACGCCGACTCTATCTGGGAGGCCTGGACCCACTGTCCGATCTCCCACCCCAGATGGGGATATGGGCTGCTCCCTGCGAGTTTCAAGGGGCATACCCCCGAAGTGGAGATCAGGATGGCAGGAGAGCCCAGAATCGAATGAACAAGCCGGATCGGCGATCGAAATGAATGGGATCGGCGGAAATGGGCAGCCAAATCGGGAGAAGTCGAATCGGCAGAAATCGGCAGGCCAAGAAATTAGACCTTCATAGAAGAATCGGAATCCAGAATGGCATCCGAAGCCCAATCGAAGCGGAATCGGAACCAACCGAAATCGAATCGAATCGCATCGGAGGAATCGAATCGAGCCCTGGGATTAGGGGAATAAATCATGACATAAACATTAAAACTCAGAGGTCCGCGCGGACTCCTCGGATCCACGCTGAACCCCCCTCCCTGGCGCACGGAAAACGCCAGGGGCGGCGCCGGAGGCGCCGCCAGGGGGCGCCAGCGCGGATCCGAGAAATCCGCGCGGAACTCCGACATCGTTGTATGTTTGTGCCGTTCTTCGTTCCCCTAGGGATGGGGGGGGGGATCTAGGGGGCAAGCAAACCTACCTCGCTTTAGACCACCCTCGCTTCCAAGAGATACCAAGCGATGCCAAACTACGGCCTGTACTGGTCAGGCCGCTTGACGAGGAGGCGCGTGGTACGGCTTGGTTTTGCCTGGAAGCGAAAGCGGGGGAGGTGATTCACGCTCTGAGTTTGTGTCGTTCGTCGTTCCCCTAGGGACGGGGAGGGGGATCGGCGAAACGATGCACGGAGCCTCGGCCGACTGCCGCTCGAGGCGGATGGCGTCCACCACGTGCTGGTCAACGAGCAGCGGCCCCGGATGTCCGCCGTCCGACGGGGCACCGAGCGGGCGGGCGCCGGCCGCCAGGGGGGCCTCCTGTGCGCGGGGCGTGCGCAGGCAAAAGGAACCGCGAGCGGCACAAACTTTTTGCGCTGGCGATGGATCGTGGCTAGACGGGGATGCCGTGAGAGCGAACTGTGCCGCCATGCGAAGAGGAGGAGCGGGGAGAGGGCAATATATGGTCCCGGGCTCCGGGCCCACGGCCCCCCCCCAGATGGTATGGTCCCAGGATTCCTCGGCCCCCCCCCCACAGATGGTATGGTCCCAGAGACGACGACGACGACGACGACGACGGCGACGACTACGACGACGGCGACGGCGACAACGACGACGGCTGCGGCGGCGACGAGGCCGGCGGCGGCGGCGGCGGCGACGACGACGATGACGACGATGACGACGACGACGACGACGACGACGACGACGACGACGACGACGGCGTCGACTACGACGACGGCGACGACGACGACGACGACGACGACGACGGCTGCGGCGGCGACGACGCTGGCGGCGGCGGCGACGACGACGACGACGACGATGACGACGACGACGACGACGACGACGACGACGACGAGGACGACGAGGACGACGAGGACGACGAGGACGACGAGGACGACGAGGACGACGAGGACGACGACGACGACGACGACGACGACGACGACGACCTCTGAACCACCACAGCACCACACCACATCCACAGGGGGGGGGAGGGGGGCACCGCAGCGCAGCACCACGCCACGCCCACCTCTGAACCACCACAGCACCACACCACATCCACAGGGGGGGGGGGGGGCACCGCAGCGCAGCACCACGCCACGCCCACATGGGGGGGCGGGGGGACCATCGCGCGCGGGGGGGGGGCCCAATGGCATCAGCATTGGGGGGGGGGCCCAAGCCCTGGACCATATATGGACACATATTCGTTTGAGAGGGGGAGCGGGCACATCACCACGGTGACGCTCTCGGCGACGCAAGCGTGCAGCCAGTGAGCTGCCTCAGTCGCTGGAGGCGCCGCGCCGACCAAAAGAGATAATGCGCCTGGGCCTCCGGGGGCGCCTGCCCACGAACACCGTACAGTCGGGGCGTTGACCTAACGAACCCTAAATAAGGAACGAGGCCTCTGTTTCCCATAAGTTAAACTTCGACTTCCTATCGAAAATAGAAGGAAAACCTGAGGCAAGCTGTGAAACACTTAAGGAACGCGAAGCCCCTCCCCAACGAAAAGGGTTCCTTCTACAGGGCCCCGACTGTATGCTGCAGTACATCCTGGGGCGAACTCTTCGCGTGTCTTTTGGGAATCCTGAGGTGCCCCATAGATTCTGCGCGAGAAGGTATGCCCACAAAAACACAGCATGCCGCAGGACGTTCTGGGCCACACATTCTCTGCGTCTGTCTTGGGAGATCCGGAGCTGCCCCGCAGATTCGGTGGGCCCCCGGGGCCCCCAGGGCGAGGCGAGGCGAGCGCGCGGTTCCGCCGGGAGCGGGGCCCTCTACGGCCTGCGCGGGCCGAAGCTGGGGTGCCGAGTTATGAACTGCCGAGGGAGCACCTGCTGGCAGGGCGCCTTCTGAAAGCACGCGCCCGCGCCGCGCAAGTCGGGCAGTCGCCAAGCGCGCGGGGGGGAGGGGCGGTCCTGCGCGGGGGGGGGGGGGGCATGCCGTCTCCGTGGTGCTGTCATCTCGCCCTCGCCCGGACGTCCCCACCACCGTCGAACCGTTCGGTCCCGTGCGCGTTTTGTCCTTGAATATTCGGCTTCGCGCGCGTTCTGTGCGTTTCTTAGCTCGAGGACCCAGGACGCTCTTCAATGACCCTCTGCCGACAAAGACTCGCACATCCGAGCGACGGCAAACAGTCAGGGAACGCTGAGCACAGATGGGCGGCGCGCCCAGGGGGGGGGGCAGTGAGAAGGAAGAGGTTTTCTCGGAAAGCTCGGGGCTTCCCAGGCCTCTTGAGAAACTGTCCAGGCCTCCCCCGGTGATAAAAAAAAACCCTCCCAGAACACCGGAGGCCTTCTGAAAACTCGCGTCGCTTTCTGCGAAGGTCTTCTCCTTCTCGTTTCCCCTCTTCGGCCAACGCCGAATGCAACGATGGGGGCCTCTCTCGTGGCCACGGCGAACCTCGACCACGCGAGCGGGGTTCCGCGAGACCCATGGAGCTTTGGGGAGCGGCCCGATGGCCGCAGCCGCCCCGAGAGAGAGCCCGCGCCCCTTCTGAGCACGGAAAGTGGCCCCACTCTGCAGAGTCGTGGCCGTTTTGGGGCATAAACAGGAAGTGTGGAATACAGGCCCGACGGAGGACGAGGACGAGGAAAAGGACGAGGAAAAAGAGGAGGAAAAGGAGGAGGAGCAGGAAAAGGAGCAAGATAAAGAGGAGAAGAGGAGGAGCAAGAGGAGGATGAGGAGGAATAAGGGGAGAAGGACTCGCCGACGAAGATGACGACGACTTCCTTCATTCAGCCCTGGGCACCGACGAGTATGACCACAACATCACATCTGTGAGAACCACTACAGACGAGCCAAAGCTGCTGCTGCTGCTGCGTGCTACACCCTGGGACACAAAGCGCAGACGGCCCGGTGGCCTACGCTATAGGCTCTGGCCTGCTCGCGCCCTACGCGGAGGGGATGCGGAGCGAAATGGCGCCCCCGCTGGGCCTGCGACTAATCAGCCGAGCGAACTAATCTGATCTCTCTAAAGAGGGCGGAGGAGTAGGACACAAGCGAAGCAAACTTATCCCACGTGGGGCGGCTCCAGCAGGCCCCCAGGTGGGGTGGCTCCAACACGCACGCTTTGCCGATCCCCATCGATATCCTGAGTAGGGCTAGGCTTCGGCTCCGCTCCAAGTTTCACCTGAAACGCAGGCTGGGATTTAGCCCTCTGCACGACATATACTGCTGCTGACTGAGGCACCAAACCCCGATCAACTAAGTCGGCTTGTCTAGAGCGCTGAGCCCTGATGCCATGACTAATAATTTCATCGGGAGATGGGGGGGCTCTTCTCGGACCTGGTACTCCAGCACTTTCTTAGACCCGCGCCCGAATGGGAACTCCGGGGCCGCCCCGCGCTTCTTCGCGCCGCCTTGGAAGCGGATGGCCTACGCGAGGAGCGCCTCCAAGTCCGCCGCCGAGGGATCGAACGCGATCGCGAGACGGGCTATCTCCTGCTCGCGATCCTCTTCTTGGAATCCTTGACCTCGCTCAATGCTGCACGTCGTTCACTAAGTCGCCCAGCGTCGTCTTGCCGCTAACGCGCGTCGCCCAGTAGGCTCTGCGCCCCCTGAAGCTCGTCGCCCTGAAGCGCCTGAGCCCCCGCCCCCCCGGCGCCCATCGGCGGCGCAACCCGCGCGCGCACGCGCGGTGGGCCCTTATTCTGCACTTCCTGATCCTTCCTGACCGGGCCCTCGACCTGCCCAATATCCTACGACTTGGCGTGGCAAGCGAACCATCGACTTCATCTCCACGTAGATCAGGGGGGGCGTCGGGCACAGGAACGCGGAGCGCCGCCGCGCACAGGCCCCGCAGACCCTGGGCGTTGGCCAGGCTCAGCTAGGTGAAAAGAAGCACCAACTGCAGAGGCTTGCTCTGCTCGTCGCCCCCACCGGTCGCAGTCTCCTGGGCCTTGGACCGAACGTCTGCACCGTGGGCGTCTCCTTCTGCTTCCGCCTTCCGCCTGAGGACCCACTGCGGGAGCTCGAACGTCGCTCAGCAACACAGGAGCGCGGTGCGATCGAATATGCTGCTGCAGCTCACCCAGAACCCCAGCCGAGGAAACACTCAGCGGAAAGAATAAGGACGTCGGCACAACAACATACGTTAGAGTGCGAGCTCGTGCTTCGCATTTAACATGCTGATGGGCAAGCTGAACTCGTCGCATAGCCGCGCAGTGACTACGATGAGGTTAAGCAAGTCATGGCCTCAATGGTGGGTGATGTAGTGCTGCCTGAATGCCTTGTAAGCGTAGAAGCGGGTAGTACATCCGTCGCGCAGACACTCCCCCGATTCTCTTGTTCTCCACTGCCCGAGCCAAGATCGGAGCTGGCAGGCCCCGGGCCAAAATCAATCTGCCCAGGTCGTTCAGAGGACCCTGGTGGTGGAGACATGCCGGAAACGGCGCTGCCCTCAAAGCACTCGCATCCAATCGAACAACTATTGAGCCAGATCCCGCTCCCAGAAAGCCGGAGCACATTATCCCGTACTCGTTCTCGAACTTCGTCAGCATCATCCGAATGAGGGCTGCTCGACAATCTTCCTGACCTTGCAGGGCCCAAGAGTTGGCTGCAATTTGGACCTCGGGTTCCACCGCTGTCGGCTGGCTTTCAGCCGCAAGCTGCCCGAAAAGGGCCGCGATGAGTTGAGCATGAGGCTCAGGGCGACGCAACGCGGCCTGCCACCGCCCGAGTCTACGAACCTGCATCCACCCGAGATGGCGCCAATCTCCACCACCTCAGTACCTCCTCGTTCGGCAACGTCCTAGCCCCCCTCTGCGCGCCCCGCCTTGCCTGTCCCATCATTGCCCCTCCGCCAAAGCTAGCGTCTAGCGAGTCGAGCAAGCGATGCTGGCGGGCTGAAGGAGCATAAGCATCAACTGCAGCGAATGCGGCATTCTGTACTTTGACGCTGAAGACACCACGCTTCAAAACGATGAGAACCCTTTAGCATGCCAGAACTGGCTCATCGAGTAAAAAGCTTTGGCGGTGGCTCCCCGTCGAATTTGGCACTCCGGTCCGAACGAGGTGCGCGTTGCGAGTCGACCTCCGAGTAAACGAAAAAGCAATAACTTCTCCAGGGACCTCCACGGACCCTTCCCGGACACTGCGAAGCCCCCCATAAGCCCAAGTTCGAAAGATGACGCGTGACTTCTAATTTTTTCCCCCTAATTCTGAGCAAACAATACGTTGTCCCGCGCCTGATCCAGAAGTCCACCAGCACGATGAATCCGCTTCTCCAGGTTGTCTAGGGAGCCTCCTAAAGGAAGCGCAAGCAGCCAACTCAAGTCATCGGCGTTGCCAGTGAAAGATTAATCAACCCTCTTGCCTGAGTCATG